ACAACCCATTTTGGAGGGGGGATTGGGGTGTTGGGGGGGGAGTGCGACTTGATACTGGAGCACTGGAGCGGTCAGTTAAATTGGAGTATAGAAGTGTACCACAACCCATTTTGGAGGGGGGATTGGGGTGTTGGGGGGGGAGTGCGACTTGATACTGGAGCACTGGAGCGGTCAGTTAAATTGGAGTATAGAAGTGTATCACAAACCATTTTGGAGGGGGGATTAGGGTGTTGGGGGGGGAGTGCGACTTGATACTGGAGCACTGGAGCGGTCAGTTAAATTGGAGTATAGAAGTGTATCACAAACCATTTTGGAGGGGGGATTAGGGTGTTGGGGGGGGTACGGCTTGATACTGGAGCACTGGAGCGGTCTGTTAAATTGGAGTATAGAAGTGTATCACAAACCATTTTGGGCTGAGTACCTATTAAACTATGTGAAAAAAACACAGTAAGGCAAAGCATGAAAATTCCCATATGCTGTTCCTAGGTCAGTCCTTATGCAGCCTATCTGCATGATGCTGTTCTGCTGTATGCCATGGGTCTAAAGGAGGTCCTGAAAGAAGGCAGAAACCCCTACGATGGGCGGGAGGTGCTGCGCAGGCTGAAGGACAAGAGCAAGATCCGATTCTACGGTCAGATAAACAGCTGCGCCTTTGGGCTCAGTGCCATCAAGCCAGCATCCACAGAGTGTGATGGCTACTCAGCAGATGAACTGTGAAATGTGTGATACTAAAGAATGAGTTTTCCTTCTATTTGATGTCATCTGAGAGATGACCTCGGTGCCTATTCCAGGGGCCACTGGCTTGGTCTACTTTGACTCGGAAGGAGAGCGAGCCATGGATTACTCCGTCTACGACTTGCAGTACCCCAGCGATGAGCCCAAGTTTGTTCCTGTGCTGAACTTCGACAGCCAGTCCAGGACACTGAGGTCAGACAGGGGTGCTGGAGCGTGATGATGGTGCCCCACCCTTTGCTCCTTGCCTGCTGACCCCCCCCCCACCGTGGCCGCTGCCTGTTTCCCTGCAGACCCACCGCAAAGTTTCCCTTGATCCTTTGGCCAAATGGGGAGCCTCCAACTGACTATCCTGCCTGCGGGTTCAACAACGAAGTCTGCGAATGGCTCTTTCAGGGTGAATGTCGAGTCTTCCTCTCATTTACTTATTTTCCATTTCCTTCACTTTTTATTCACCTGAGGGATGATCTTACAGTCACTTCCAAAGCTTATGCACATATTACAGACATACATCAAGAACAAACGTGCATCACTTATACAGCATCACTTATGTTCAACACGAACAAAACTGAAACATTTTAATTGTCTATAATGCTTCTTTCATTTAACAAATCAGCCCTGCGTTTCTTCCCCACATTTCTGCCCAGACATTTCTCTGATATTTCTGCTGGTGGCACTGCCAATTCTAGTGCTGTCCGCTGTGCTACTTATGAGTGTCCTGCTGGTGCAGAAGTGCCGGCTTCAGACCAGGCTGGATGGTGCATGCTGGTGGAGGATCCAGTATAGTGACATCACCATTATTAAGGAATCCAAGGTGCCAGCTGATGACTTTACCCTATAGTAGACCTGGTGAATGTGAACAACCTAAACACCGCAATGAAACTTCTGTTGTGACCCTCTCTCTACCCAGGGACCTCAGTCTGTGGTTACCACGGCAACTCGGAGTGCCAGTGGAGGGTCTCAGACAATGACGTCCACCAACAGCTATGGTCTGAAGGACACCATGAGCAAGGAGAACATCTACACCACCACTGGCGTATATCAGGTACACACACAGTTACACATGTGTACAGACATGCACATACTCACATATAGACATACAGAGGTACACATAGAACATATGTGTACAAACATGCACACACTCACATGTAGACATGCATAGGCACACACTGACATATGTGTGTACAAACATGGACAGCTTCACAGACAGACATGCAGAGGTATACACAGACACATGTGTGTACAGATATGAACACCATCACAGAAAGACATTCAGAGGTACACACAGAAACACATGTACAGACATACACAGCCTCACAGACAGAAATGCAGAAGGACACACAGACCCATGTGTGTACAGACAAACAGACACGTACTGTACACATTCCAATGGTCACACACATAAATGGCATGCAGACAACATTAATCTGTACTAGATTCCAGGACACACAAAGACATACAAATAGAGGAAAACATGTAGCCACGCACAGCCACGCACAGCCACGCACAGCCACGCGCAGCCACGCGCAGCCACGCGCAGCCACGCGCAGCCACGCTCAGCCATACTCAGCCATACTCAACTATTCTGTGTGTTTTCCACTGACAGGGAAATCAAGTGGCCATTAAGCACCTGGAGAGGCAGATCATCAGTGACATCAGGAAGCCTTCTATTCTGCAGGAGTTTCAAGTGGTGAAGCTCTGCTCTGCTCTGTAGCTGCCTGCAGTGACATTCCAGACCAGTGATGACAAGCTATAGCATTCAGGATGTTTGCATGTGTTTAATGCACATTTCTCTTCTATCAGATGCGAGAGCTGAAGCATGAGAATTTAGTGCAGTTCTTTGGTGTTTGTATTGAACCTCCAAACATCTGCATCATCACGCAGTACTGTAAGAAGGGCAGCTTGAAGGTATTTGGGAAATTTCATGGTTGTTTGTGGCCATTGCAATGTGACGTTTTGAGAAACTTGGGAAATTCTGGGCCAATTGTGTCATGGTGCTCCCCGGTTGTGTCTCAAATTTTATGATTTGGACAGTATGACTTGGCACTTAGCCAGCTCTCCAATTTGACGCTCCCTGCCAGTCCCTGGAGGATGGGCTCCCCCTTTGAGTCTGGTCCCTCCCAAGGTTTCTTCCTTCTTGGGAGGTTTTCCTTGCCAGTGTTGCCTATGGCTTACTCACTGGGGGCTTTGGGTGGGGATGCTGTAAAGCGCTTTGAGACGATGTAATGTTGTGATAACGCGCTATACAAAAATAAATTTGTTTGTTTATTGTTGTATCACTCATAGGATGTTCTGAGGAATTCAGAGATCGAGCTGGACTGGATGTTCAAACTGTCCTTTGCCTACGACATAGTGAACGTGAGTGTGGAGACAACTGAGCACATTCTGCTGCATCTGCTGGTGGTTCATCAGAAATGCCTAATTCATTAACATACATGAATTTTGGGAGGCCTACACTCAACCACACGATCATATCACTCCAGGTCCTTGTCTTATCTTCCCTGTAGGGGATGGATTTCATCCATAAGAGCAGCCTGAAGTCCCATGGGAACCTGAAACCCACCACGTGCCTGGTGGACAGCCGTCTGCAGGTGAAGCTGTCTGGGTTTGGGCTCTGGGAGTTTCGCCATGGCACCAAACACAGAGTCATCCCTCAGGAAAACACAAAGTATACAGGCACGGTTCCATCACACTCAATAAGCTGTCATTGGCAAATCACTGGTGCTCTCATTTGGTTTTCAGTTGTACTTTATGATGCTGTTACAGGATTCTTTCTCTTCTTCTGTCTTTGGCTACAGAGATGTACTGGTTAGCTCCAGAGCTCCTCAGGCAGATCCACTTCATCTTCAATGGGAACCCAAGGGGGGACGTTTACAGCTTCGCCATCGTCATGCGGGAGCTGATCTACAGCGGGGAGGATGGACCGTTCCATGACCTGCAGCTGGAACCCAAAGGTGGTTCTTCCACAGCTATATCTTCTGGTCGTGCCTTTGGGAGCCCAGTTGGGAACACAGACCTCATAGTGTGTCGTGTTTCTGTCTGGCATCAGAAATCATCCGGCGAATCAGGGAGCCCGGCCCGGGGGAGTTGCTGCGGCCCTCGCTTTCGGCCCAGGCCTGCAACGACGGCATGGTGGCCTTGCTGAAGGCCTGCTGGAGTGAGGAGCCCGAGCAGCGGCCGTCGTTCACCTGCATCAGGCGCCGACTGCGGGAGGTCAGCCCTGAGAGGTTAGTGCCTGCAGGTACATAACACAACCCAAGATAATAACAGGAGCCAGTTACAGCTCAGCAGCCTTATGGAAAAGCCTAGACATAATCAACACAGGAGCAGAGATCTTTGCACTACTGTGGACAGAAAATGGAACCACAAAGCACCCAGAAGGAGAGCAGAGAACTGCACAGAGATACAAGCACAGACCATCACAGAGCCAACACTCAGCTCCTAAGACTCTAATGTGAAGGGCAACTCACCCTTCAGATAATTAGCAAATGAATCACACAGTAAAAATGTTTCTTATCATCCCCATCATTTCAGCCATGTAAATATCCTGGACAATATGGTGAATAAGCTGGAGAAATATGCAAATCATCTGGAAGAAGTGGTTGAGGAGCGGACCAATCAGCTAACAGCAGAAAAGATGAGAGCCGACAAGCTTTTGTCTAGCATGTTACCAAGGTAATGGAGCATAATTATACATTTAGCGATAAAGAACAGAAGGGTATTATGTATTAAATCAATAAAGCATCCAAGATTAAGGAGATTTTAAAGTAGGCTGCAAACCTATGTGTTTTTAAATAACTTTGGATAACCTTAAATGATAATACTGCATGGAACATCTGCTGTGCTCTTCATATGATAGTATAGTCATCGAGCTTGTGTTCAGCTTTTGTCTAATTTCCCTTTGAATCTCTCCTGTGTTGGTGTACAGCTACATTGCAGACCAGCTCATGGCAGGGAAGTCAGTAGAGCCCATGAGCTATGAGATGGTCTCCATCTTTTTCTCTGACATTGTGGGCTTTACAACCATGTGCTCAATCAGCTCGGCCTTGGAGGTGGTGACCCTGCTCAATGACCTGTACAGCCTCTTTGATGAGATCATAAAGATGTATGATGTCTATAAGGTAGATACTATCCATAGGTACCCTAACGCTGGACTTGTCAGAGTGCATCACCTCCATCCCGTTACTCCCTTGTTTCCCTGGCCCTCATGTTCTCATGCCGTTGTCTGATCATGGGCTTCAGGTTGAAACGATTGGTGACGCCTATATGGTGGCGAGCGGCTTGCCGATCAGCAACGGCCCCCGGCACGCCAGCGAGATCAGCATGATGGCACTGCACTTCCTGTATGCTGTGGCAGCGTTCCAAATCCGTCACCTGCCTAAGGAGCGCTTGGCGCTGCGCATTGGGATACACTCAGGTTCGCCAGTCTGTCACACATGCTGTATTAACATTGGAGTAACATAGGACCAGCTATACACTAACCTCTGTTAATGTTGCTTGGTAATAATAATGATAGCGGCAGGGACAGGATACGGCGTGTGTTATTCGTGTGTAGATGAACTATACACTCAGATATTGGGTCACATTGTTCAGGAAAGGAGAAACTCAGACACAGAGATTTAAGGTTAGTGCTGATTTTATTTGCATGTATTGTGCTAAGAAACAGTGCTAAACTCCAGGACACTGTGGGGACTGTGGGCTTCCTCTGCAGGTCCGGTGGTGGCTGGGGTGGTGGGGTCCACTATGCCCAGGTACTGCCTATTCGGGGACACGGTGAACACAGCGTCTCGCATGGAGAGCAACAGCCTGCGTGAGTGATGCGCCTCGGCCTGTGTCCCTCATGCTTACCATAGATACATACACACACACATACATACATACATACATACATACATACACACATACATGCATACATACACACATACACACATACATACATAAATACATACACACATACATGCATACATACATACATACATACATACAGTACATACATACACACACACATACACACATACAGTACATACATACAAACACACATACATACATACATACATACACACATACATGCATACATACATACACACATACATGCATACATACATAAACACGTAAATTCACACATGAAGAGCAACATCCTGCGTGGGTTATGTACCTCAGCTTATATCCCTCATGGCTCCATAGTAGAAGAGCCCAGGTGACTGACTGGCCAGCCTACAGTCCAGACCTGTTACCTATTGAAATATTTGGCACATCATGAAACAAAATATATGACAAAGGAAACCCTGAACTGTTAAACAGCTGAAATCCTATAGCAGGCAAGAATGGGTCAACATTTCACTTTCAAAACTCCAGCAACTGGTCTCTTCAGTTCCCAAACGTTTTCGGAGTGTTGTTAATATATAGTAGTGTGTGTGTGTGTGTGTGTGTGCGTGTGTGTGTGTGTATCTATGTATGTATAGCCAACCGGAATGAATGATAGACCTTGGCCTACATCCCACTATGGTTAACAGATAAATATAGAAAATGTGTTTATATTGCAGAAAGGTGTAAATCGTCTACCTTAATGTTGCTGTGCCATTTGAGTTGCTCTGATTAGAGGATGTGAAACAGGTTACTTCCTGTTTGTCTATGTCGTTGTGACATCCCTGCTCAGCCTTGAAGATCCACGTCTCTCAGAGCACTGCTGAGATCCTCCAGAGGATTGGCACATTTGAACTGGAGGAAAGGGGTGAAATCGAAGTTAAGGTAAGCTATGCCTGTCTCACCTGACAAAAGATATCTTGTTTACACCGCGGCTATGAAACAGGACATTAATATTTTCATCACTGGATGTGAAATTTATTTTATTATTCTACAATTTTTATATTATATGTTGTACATCCAGAATCTCCCCCGGGATCACACTGAAGTGCATCTAAATCTTAATTGTATATTTGCATCATTGTTTTTTACAATTGTTTTCAGACTTGTCTCAGTACCATGTCCCCTTTTCTGAAACACTGAACACATGCACCATTTCAGTAGCCTATGTGAACCAATATCTATGTGGACCAACTCCATGTTGCTATCTATTTCATAAAGATTTCATAAAATGGAGATGATACTGAGACAAGTGTGAAAATTATTGTAAATAACTGTAATATTCCCTATCAGCTGAGTATGTGTGTGCTGTCACCAGGGAAAGGGCACCCAGAGAACATTCTGGCTGAAGGGGAAGCAGGACTTCCAGCCTCTGGCCCCGTCCCAAAGTGGCCCCTCTGCTGATCACACTTCTCCAAAGGAAGAGGCGGGGCATCCAGCCAGAGTAGCCAATCAGACCACGGGAGTGCCTCCCAATAGTGTGAGATTTAGAAGTTTTCACTGAATATTTAATATCATTTATCACTGAATTAAACATAGTAGCTTGTTATTTTATTTATACCTATAGTTAAATGTATATTCATGCATGTATCCATCCATCCATCTCCATTCATACATATAGGATAAAATGAAGACACCACTCTTTATTTTGAAAAGAATCTGCATTAGATCCTGGCTTAATCATGGTTCTGCTAGCAGAAAGCTAAACTGAGCAGCAGGTTTCTTCCAGGTTCAAATTTTCCAAGGCAGCAGTACACAAGACTAAGGTGAAGCAGGAGACACTAGGAACAGCCAGAAACCAGCCAGGGAGAGGGCAGAAGCAACTTGCTGAAGATGATCATTAACTTATCTAACAGTTTCTCATGAATCGGAGGATGACATCAAGTGACCTTCAAAAGGAATGGGAGACATTAAGTGCCGGTGTGAAGTGCACTGCTAGGAGAGTTCACATCAGGCTTGTAGAAGCAGGACTGAAGTCCCATAAAGCAAGGAAGAAGCCCTTCATTAATGAGAAACAGAGAAGAACCAGACTACAGTTTGCAAAAAAAAAAAATCTCTTAATTCTTTCCAAGGCTGTGTTCCGTAAACTATATACAGACATATAAAGAGACTTCAGGCTTTCTGTGTGCATGTAATCTCACTGCCGGTCTGTGTCCCTAGCAGAAGAAGGCCGGTTTCCCCCTGGACAGAAAGGAGAAGGCGCAGAGGAGCCTGACAACAGTGGAGGCCAGTGATGCTGCACTTGCTGTCCCCTCCGTTTAGGCCGCAGCTGCGTCTCTAGCACAGCAGGCGACCATGTGACCAGCCCGAGAAGTGACCAGCTAGCATACACAGGCTAAGCTGGCCCTGTGCAGCATGACGTGTTGTTATGCTCTGCAGGAGCTAAGTGACAAAGGTCAGGGGTCAGGTTTGGTTAACAAAAGGTGTACAAACACAAACCTTATGAACCTTTCTGATCTTAGAATAACAGAAGAGAAACTCTCTGGTAGCCAAAGGCTGCACAGCAAGCATTAAACTGAGTGGTACGTATGTATGAAATCGGGCAGTGAAAAAGTACGATGATGATTCAAAGACTTAATGTGAATTTTACCAGATACTCAATGAATGAAACTCAATTGAAATGCGCATTTATTTTACCAATAAAAAAACATATGAAGCAGATTTTAAAACTAGTAATTTGTTTACAGTTGTTTTTAATTAAAAAGGAACAATTTCAAACCATATTCATCCTAAATGTAGCACATAATTTTACTCCATACATAGCTTTGATCTGAAGTCTCGTATTTAGACATTTCATGCCGTTTAAAACCATAAAAACCACATTAGATGTGAAATGGATGAGGAGGAATGTTGTTCATGCCCTGAGACCTAATCCATAACCATCACCTGTGTGTATGTGTCTGTGTGTGCATGTGTCTATGTGTGTCTGTTTGTCTATGTGTGTACACAAACATTTTCTGTGTCTGTATATGCGGCACAGGAGTCTGTCTCTCTAAGGATGTGGGGACAAGTCACTGTGTGTACGTGTGTGTGTGTGAGCATGTGTGAGCGTATGTGTGTGTATGTGAGCGTGTGTGTGTGTGTGTGTATGTGAGTATGTGTGTGTGTGAGCGTGTGTGTATGTGTGTGTGTGTCAACGTGTGTGTTATGGTGTGTGTGTGTGTGAGCGTGTGTGTATGTGTATGTGTGAGTGTGTGTGTGTGTCAACGTGTGTGTGTGTGTGTGTGTGTGTGTGTGTGAGCGAGCGGGTGTGTGTGCATGTGTGTATGTCAACGTGTGTGTTAGGGTATGTGTGCGTGCGTGTGTGTGTGTGCGTGCGTGTGTGAGCGTGTGTTCCCAAGAAGTGGGCCTGATGCCTGGTCACGCCCGCGGTGAGTTCAGGAACATCAGGAAGGTATGCATCAGCGCCACACACAGCAGGCAGAGTGACGGTCCTGTGATTGGGGGGGGGGGGGAGTACACAGGAAAGTCACTCCCAAATGGCACGTGACAGACACTCACCCCAAAATGACACCCACAACAATTCCTATTCAGACACATAAAAAGAGTGGGAGGCTTCTCCAGTAATCAAAAACTGATGTGGTCCGTGGGTCCATCCAGAGAAATAAAAATGTGAGAAATTACCTACAAGATGTCCCTCACTGGACGACTCTGCAGCTGTACAGGGAACAAAAAGCAGCAGTAAATAGTCAGAGACACATGAAACAGCAACTGGAGGTCAGAGTCATTCATTTGTATATACATCATACCATCACTGGTTGATGGTCAATATGATATTGCAAACCATGAACCAATGACATAACTCAGCAGCTTTGAAAAGAAACAACCCAAATTGTGGGGGACAACAACCCCAGAGGGCAGGTGGCTCTATTATGCCGCTACAGCCATAAGGCTTTCAGCGGAAATAAAAAGTAGGTTTACAGAGGTTAGCAGAGAGCCCCCTAGTGTACATACAGGCCTTAAAAAGCTGCTGAATTGTACCCCAGAAACAGTATAGATCTCCACAATGACTGAACCTGAGAGCTGAAACTCCATGGTGAGCACCCCCCCGCTGGAGTCCACATGCTTCTGCACGCTTCTGGTTGTGCATGGGGCCTCAGGGGAACAGCGAAAGACAGAAACAGTGCAAGCACACTGGTCTGAGCTGTCCGTTTCACACCTACACACTACTATAGGCTTACAAGCATGTGTGCAAACCACCATTATTTACCTTCCTGAAATAAATCAAGATTGATTGAGAAATAAAAATTACAAGTAAAAGTAACTTTCTTTAAAGCATAAACATTATAAGAAAAGGTGCATTCTGCAGCAGACGTGACTTTTCACATGGTCTCTGACTGTAAAATCATTCTATCATGACAAAACTCACCTTATACTGTGCTACAACCATACTCTCTGTGCATTATCCACTGTGACTATACTCATGGTCTCTCTGATTTCTCCATATTCACCATGCACTCTGCACTGTGACTATACTCATGGACTCTGATTTCTCCATACTCACTGTGCACCCTGCATATTCTTCTTGCCCTTACTGCCTCTCTCCTGTGACCCATACTAGACCCTCACATATTCATACTCTGTAAAATATCCATACTCCCCACTGTACTATGACATAACTCACCATCTCTCCAATATGACAGTGGTGATTGTCTGTCCACCACACTGGCCCTCAATCCACACGGAACCTCTCTTTATTGTCACCGTACTTTAACCACACTTAGCTATTCGCCATACTCACTGGCTGGCAGAACAGCTTTTCTCCATCACAGATGTTGACCTCACAGTGGAGCCAGACAGTTGAGACTTTCTCCAGACGCTGAAAGCGGAAGGAGTTGAACTTGAACATGGAGCGGGTGTCTTTGGCGTTCTCAAAGATGGTCACAGTCTGGTCTGAGGAGCAGCTGGGTGTGAAACACATTGGTCAAACCTTCATGCATCTGTACACCGTGTAGGTGTACAGATGCAGCATCTGAAGACAGTGGTGTAGGACAATGAGATGAAGAAGCATATTTTCTGAGAATGATGCGACACCAAGGAGCTCGTCATATGTTACAGCATTTGTACAGTGAATAGTGATGCTGCACACCTTAGTGCATCAAAGGACACTGATGTATAGTCTTAGCATTGACTCTTTCTGCTAATCTATCATCATCAGACATTACCGCAGCAATACCTGTTAATTATGAGGCTCCACCTCTTCTTGTCCGTAGAGTAAGGAGAGGGAGTGGCCCAGCAGTTGTTAATGACCACTTTGAATCTATTGATGCAGAGATATGTAAGCTAATGACCTGCATGAGAAAAAGTACTTCTGAAGTCTGCTCAGAGTTTTTGACTACTGACATCTTGATTTTTTTCAGATCCAGCTGTTAAACACTTTGGGCAACTTTTGGGGAAGAACAATAAAGTAACAGTGATGAACTGGATGCAGCCTTCTCAGCATCAAAAGACGTGCAGCACTGCTCACCGGCTACTGAGGCCCTTGGCCTCGATGCCTATGAAGACCTCTGAGCCAATTTCGGATGTGTCGATGACATAGGGCGCGTCCTTGGCGTACAGGAACTTGGAGTTCTTCAGAAAGGAGAATCACAGACATCGTAAGAGGCCCATGCCTCTAACTATGATTTGTAGTTCTTTCTATGAGTAGCCAAACCGCTCGTACAAATACGGCCGTCCAAGAAGGCAGTGATACTCACAGTGAACACGTTCATAGACAACTGAGTTTTAAAAGAGCCTACGCTCCCGTTGTTCACATAAACGGTGGCCACTCTGGAAGAAGCAGACAGGGAAGTAACGAAGCTGCGAGTCTTTGTGTGGGGACAGAGGCAGGCTGCAGACAGGCACTGGGGGGGGGGTCTGGGGGCTGGGCGGAGCTCACCTCTGGCTGAACACAGCGTTATTCACCAAGTAGGCAGCCCTGTAGGTGCAGCTGAAGGAGTAGTTCACAGGCTGGTTCCTCACCGTGAGAGAGGTGTCGTTGGAGATGATATAGTTGTAAAACACGTATTTGGGATCCTTACCATCCATATACTAAAAGAGACACATTATGGAAGACAGTAATTTTCTTACAGGCTCGTTACTGCTGCAGTCTTACCTCTCCTTCCTGCCCTCATGTTAATCGCCCCTTCAAAAGTCACATATTTAAGTTCCTCCCAGTGTTGCCCAGATCTGTTATTAACATTGTTACCTACTGTTATTCATGTCCTGCCTTCCTTCAGAGCTCCCGTTTAGATTCCCCAAGGTCCTGCTTGTTTTCTCTTTCATGCTTTTGAGTTAATAACCCCCCTTTATCCATTTATCATGTCTGCTACCACATCCTTCATCCCCTTCAATATGTATACTTCATATTATGCTATGCTCTGCTATGCTACACTACATAAAGAGACATATTATAGAAGCCATAAAGTATAAACTTTTACAGTACATGCATATATATTATAGTCATTACACTGTGTTACTATCTTATACTTAATGTGTATACTTTATATCATACTAGCTATACTATATGACTATATTATACTTAATATATTATATGTAGAGTTGGCATGTTCTTCCTGTGTCAGTTATGCTAATTTGTGTCTGTAAACTTCCTGCAGTGCGTGCATCTGTGTGAGTGTGTGTGCCCTGCGATGGGTCGCCATAGCAGCCTGAGCCTGAGCCCCCCCCCCCCCACAACCTGATCAGGAAGTTGAGTGGATATTATATGTTCCAATTTAAAATGACTTTCTTGCTGTAGCAGTGACTAGTGAGTTGCAATATTGCTGTACTTGTATGTTGACGATAAAAGATTTCAATATAATCATGCAAACATTTTCCCAATTTTAATTACTTTATAATTATGTTAGTGTATTCCTTGCCTCGCACTCATTGTTTTTGGATCCCCATGAAACAGAAATGGACAAGCAGTAAAATGAATGAACGAAGGAATGAACGAAGGAATGAATGAACGAATGAACGAATTAATGAATGAATGAATGAATGAAACATGGAGCTGAAGAAGCACAATAAATCCTGTGTTATTAACCAAGTCTGCAAACGAGTCATATGTCTGCAGGTGTCGTGCGGCGCGCTGCACCTCAGACTGGGTCCCACAGTAGGAGTGGTTCCTGGGGGTCAGGTCCGGGACAGTGAAGCGGTAGTACCCAGCACTGATGACCCCCGTGTAGCAGATCCCCCCCAGGGAGAGCTGCTCGATCTCCCAGCCATAGGGACATTCGGGTACATTGGCGATGATCATGTTTGGAAAGCAGGAGACCACAACATAATCTAGAAGGAATAGCAGCCGGGGGATAGTGAACAATGAGAGAATTTCATCTGTAACTACAGCCATGTGCAGTGGATCACATCACAGAGATGACAGGGGGAGCCCAGTGCCTTTGTTTCACAATAGAGAGTGCTGAAGACCAGAAAACCTGCCTGCTTTCTGTGGAGGACATGCCCAGGCCTGGGGCAGCACCATTAGCAGGGCCGTCAGCAGCAGCATTTCTCCAGGCTGTGGGGGGGGGGGGGGTCACAGAGGCTCACCTGGCTTTACTCTGGCAGCACAATGACTGAACAAAGCACCCAGCCTGAGAAGACAGCAAGGGCAACCTCACCTTCACGCTGACGGGGCTTTGGGCATCGAGAGCTTTCACCACCGTCTCACACTGCTGCCACAATGAAATGACAAAGAACAGCAAGACTCTGTCCCTTCCTTCTGGTAAATTCTGGAACTATCTATCAAACCAAGCATGACAATGGACACAGCTCATCTCTGCTTATTGACCATCTGCTATATTTGCATTACAGCCATACTGAGCAGCATAACATGTTGAGGCAGGCGATGCTTACGTGCTTCCAGGATATCTGTGGGTCTGCTACCGTAACCCCAGCACCGGGAACCGCCTCGGAGGATCCGCAGGCCGTCACCGCAGCAGCAGTGTCCAGGCCAGTGGCAGCCTTGTCAATGACGCTGATGCACCACCCAGCTGCAGCAGAATCTCTCCCTTTATACCCGGGGCAGGTTCGTATGCCTCCCACCTCTGTGGCAAAGCTTCGTAAGACGCTGCTGAGAGCTGGGACACAAAAAGTTTTCTGTGCCTGATGGACATTGACATTCAAATGAGACACGTCTCCAGGAACGATGGGTCTCCAGGGGCGACGTGTCCGGACTGGCGGCTGGCCCCTCCCTTTCAGCCCCCGCTTTTAGAGCTGCTCTTTGATCCTGGCTTCCTGCAGGTACCAAACAGACACTGCAGCGAGGCCTGTGTCCTGTCCACAGTCACATTGCGTCCCTAGCACAGGTCCTGTGCATCTGGCCGGCATATTCCGGAAAATGGCCGCATCACTTCCCAGCAGACGGACTTCAGCACAGGTGTACAGGACGGCAAGGAGGGTTTGAGAATAGTGCTGTCTTGGAGAATCAGGGTCCCCTGAGTGCATACTAGCTCAGAGCACTTTGTCCCTGTTTTAAAAGGACACAGTCGCTAGGTAACACTGTCTCCATACCATTTACATTTAACCATGCTGATACTCGTTCAGAGCTGGGACGAGGAATTACAGGTACATCCCTGCCTTCAGAGGTCACTCAGGGACAGTTTAATAGTGCTTTTCTACTGGCATATAGGAACGGAGCTGTATCAGAGCCATATAGTGAAGAGAGCTAGTTACAGCATGGTTCCAGCTCACTTTGGTTTTCCACTGCAGACTGGTCAAGTCAAGTCATTTTATTTATACTGTTAAAAACAACCAGTGGCTGATCAAAGTGCTTAATACAGAACAATATGCATAAAAAGTGGGGAAAAATGTAAATATCCATAAAAACATAAATAAAACAAAGTACAATGTAAATATAATAAAACAGACATTACAATTACAAAAATTGTGATAAAACACAAAAACTGCCTCAGCGAATAAATGAATTTTTAGCCCCGACTTGCCAGGTTTGGAGAGTGACAGGGACGTAAAACTGAAGAGTTGCTTATACACTTTTCATACAATGTACATCGTGATTTTCTATGTGCTAATTTCTGCTAGCACATCTGTGAGAGATCTGTGTGTTATGTTAACATAAAATGCTAGCAGAATTAGCATTCTCTTGTGTAAAATTGGAATACAAATCCATTCCATTCAATTCAGTTTGGTCACACTATTGCCCCAGCTATTGCCCAAAGCTGTGTCAACACGGTTACAACCTGGGCATCCTTTACATTGGAATGCCGCCAGTTCGTGGTACGGCTCGGGTACGGCTCGCATCCTTTACATTGGAATGCCGCCAGTTCGTGGTACGGCTCGCATCCTTTACACTGGAAAACTGCCAGTTCGTGGAATGGCCCCAAAATGCACTAAAAGGAACATAAGACATTTAGAAACGAGAGGTCATTCAGCCCATCAAGCTCATTTGGGGAGAGCTCAACTAATAGCTCAGAGTTATTAAAATCTTATCTAGCTCTGATTTAAAGGAACCCAGGGTTTTAGCTTGCACTACACTAACATACTCTAACCACACGCTGTGTAAAGAAGTGCTTTCTCAAATCCATTTTAAAATGTTCTCCCACTAATTTCCACCTATGGCCACGAGTTCTAGTATTTAAACTAATATTGAAGTAGCCATTTGGCTGAACAGCATCCAGACCTGTTAGAATCTTATAGACCTGGATCATGTCCCCCCTTAGTCTGCTACGGGGAAGAGCAAATACTAGAAGTCAAGATGCGTCTCAGCATCTGAGTGCATGTGGGTATAAGCACCTCGCACAATGCCAGCCACCCAGGGCCATTTCCTGCCTGTTCCCAGCCTGACAATAGGCAAGGCTGCACTGGTCACAGTGCCCAGAAATTCCACTACCCTGCTCAGGTTATGTGACTCTGGCCAGGACACAAAATGCACCTGCAATGATTAACATTAGTTTTGCTTATAGTGCTGTCCCTGGTGAGTTAGTTAGCCACCAGTCGTTTCTCATTAGAGAAGTTTGCAGGGACCACTGGGTTCTTCAAGGCCTCACACTACTAAGATTAGCAAAAGGCATGATGGTTATAGCGGAGATATTTGGATCCTCACAGGGATCTTATGCTACCCTTGAGAAAGATATTTGAATCGCTTCATTAGATGTAAAATTGTAAGCTATTAAAGTTGGTCTGAAAAGGAGCTTTTGCTAAGTAGCAGCTAATGGATATGCCTTACCGTAACGTGATCACGCTGGGTCCTCGCTCTCTTTCACGAGCCCAGAGGGCCACACTATCTGGGATCATTGCAATTCCATTCTGGGGAGAGAGGAAACAAAATGCTATTTGTGGGCCTCACTGACATGTGTTTTAATTTTCACTGGAGCCCCTTTGACTCTTTGAGGTCTGTCTGTGGGAGCACAGACCTTATCGAGGGAATCTGAGACAGACACAAAGCTCTCAGCTGTCTGCTTCCTGTCTGCTCTTCAGTCTCCCAGTAAATTCTAGACCCTCTTAGTGTGACATTATAAAAGCACTTCTTAGCATTTACAGCCCATGGTTGATGGGAGAAGGTTAATCACGTGAGTGCTGATCAAAGTTTGCTATGTCTCTCAAGTGCTTACTGCACTACTAATTCACTATATAATCAATTGTTCCTGTGGTGGGAGTTTAGCTGTTTTATGCTGGAAGCTAAAGTCATCTATGAAAATACCCATATTTGACGGTGATAGCCACAAATACAGCTGACTCATTGTCGCCCTCTGGTGGTGGTGATCTTCTGGAAGAAAGGTGATTCTGGTGCTTGGTTAGTGATGGAGACAGGGGGCGGGTGTGTTCCACAAAGCAGTATTTCATTATTTCGAAATTAGCTGGATAACTTAAGATAAACGTGAAAACTGCCCAATAAAAAAAGACGTAAGTGATATTCCTATTGAACAATTGGACAATCCTTACATCTGGCTTAAGTTATCTGGCTAATGAAGAAATTCTGCTTTGTGGAAGGTACCCTTGGATCACCTCCAAAGCGGAACGATGCCTGTATCCAGTGTGTGAAATTCGGGTCCGACACCCTCGATTAACCCATGACACCCCCTGAAAGCCTCAAAAGCAAAATTTTAAGGGGGTCTCAAGATCGGTATTGCGCAACAATAGGGAGATGTGGACCCCCCCGAATATAGACGAGTATTTCGCACACTGCCTGTAGCCATACATTTCTTCTGAACTGTTAAAAAATGTGAGCAGTTCAGTTCAGTGACGCTGTGTATGAGTGCAAGGTGTATAGTATCTGCTGAGGAAAAATTCAAGTTTAGGAACAAATTAAAGACTATGTGTCAGGATCGTTTGTGTCTTCTCCCCATTTGGCCAGCAGGTGTCGCTGGCCATCCTGTCCTCCCCATTGTTAGTCTTTAGTTCAGGGGTCACCAACATGGTGCCCGCGGGCACCAGGATGCCCCCAAGGACATCCAGTTGCACCAGTGAGCAGCATCTAAAATTTAATTTTATCCTGTTTCTATTTTTCTTCAAACACATTTGCATTTATATAGATTTGAAAATGACAATATCTAAAAAAGGAATTTAAAACACGTTAATTATAAATGAAGTTTAGATAAGTTTAGGAGGGTGTTTCAAACTGGTAGCCCTTCGTATGGCTCAGTACCCGTGAAGTAGCTCTCAGTTTCAAAAAGGTTGGTGACCCCTGCTTTAGTGTTGATCCAGATGATTGCATAGCTCAATGAGTTCAGCATGTGGTTTTACCTATTAATCCCCCAGTTTCGTGTTCAAATCCCACCTCCTCTGTTTTTGTATTTTTGTAGATTTTGTTCCCTTGTGTTTCATTTGTATCAGTTTTCTAGTAACTGTGTCTTGTGATTTGTATTCAGTTTTGGTTTAATGCTTTGTGCCTGTGGTTGTGTTTTTACCTGTCTGTTATTCCCCAATGTTAGATTCAGTTTCCTTGTTTCTGTGTTTCTTAGGTTCCCTGTTTGATCCCCCAGTTCCTTGATTTAACTATTAGTTAAATTGCCTGTTTTCTTGTGCTAGTCCTTGTGTCCTGCCCCCTTCCTGATTGGTTAATTGTTTCATGTCTCACTGTGTTGTAACTGTTGTTACCTGGTTCAGTTGTGTATTTAGGTTCCTTCTTTAGTTCGATGGCCTGTACTACGAAGCGGGGTTACTGGCTTATTTGGGTAACTTGTCGGATTTAAGGTACCACAGTTTAAATGGACTAAATATTAGTTCACTTACATTTTGCCCAGACTACCTTAAATCCAACAAGTTACCCCGATAAGCCAGTAACCCTGCTTCGTAGTACCAGGTCTCAGTTCCTCAGTGGGTTGTATTTCAGAAGGTTAGAAGTTACTGTGTTTTGTCATTTGTAGCCTGCCTGCCTGCTCCTTCTTGCCCAGACCTTTTGTAGGTAGTCTTTGTTTTTCCCCTTTTTGGTTTTGACCCCTTGTGGTCCATTGTGTTGTAGTGTTCTTAGTGTTTTCAGTTTTGTTAATAAACCCCTGTTGTCCTGTGAGCCGCAAGTGGACCGTCCACCTTCCGGCCTGCACCATGCCATGAGTCCCTGACACTATATATGTGGCTGCACTATTCATTGAATTTGAATTTACAGCCAAATTTCCATATTCTGTAAAACAGACATTATTGTAGCATGTTGAATTTTTCTCAGTATTAAATGGCACAAACAAATCTAGCTATTTTGTGTAATGCCTATGTGCTTAAACTTTACAGACACATTTCTTCCAAACTAGGATAAGCAGTTACAAGATGGGTGGATTACCTTGTTATTCATTGTTATTCCTTTAATAATTGAAGATGTTTTTCAACAACAGTAACATTATACTCAAGTCAGCGTGGAGCATTTGTAACGACGCTAGACCGTAATTTACTATGCCTGAAAACGAACGCATTTCATACAAATAGTGTATTATAGTCTTTTAAGTTTTCTAATATCATACGTCCATGGCTGATTTTTGGCAAATCTGAAATTGCAGAATTGTAAAAAAAAAAAAAAAAAACACGGCCGGCGCTCAGGTGTTCCACTTTGGGGGTGACAACGACAGGACATTAGCCTGGTGCTGAACTCTCTTCTGGCTCCCATGAGGCAGTGTGTGATTATTGGTCAGATGGTGCTTTTCTCACGTTTATTACTTATAGGCTACTGTATGTATCCGTTTCACAATGTATATTTTTGCTAGAGTTTGGGTTCCTCTGTAATTAAAAATAACTCAAAGCAGACAGACTGCATGATGTTATTACGCCACAGGCGGCTGACATTTCCATAGGAGCCATTTGCTGAACGTCCTGCGTACACGCATGCGCAGTGCAGGTGCGCCCCCTGGCGTTTCCGCTTTGCTTTGAGCTATTCAGAGCGGCGCGGACCTGAGTGAGCACAGGGTACTGGATCCACCGATGCCCTGGCCGCGTGGGAGGTGACTGGCTACTGCTGTGTCTGCCGGAACAGGGGCTGAGATCCGGCGTGTGGCCGCCGGGGATGCTGCGCGGAGGCGCTATTCTGGTGGTAAGGAACGGGAGATGGTGCTCCGACCGGCCGGTACGGGGGGAATCTCTGTTTCGCAGCCCCCCGCTCCGGTCCGCCGGACAGGATGCGCCGCTGTCTGATCGCTTATCGTCCCGCGGAGCCGGGCGTGCACGTGCAGGGGGCGACCAGAGGGCAAAGCGTCACGGTGGATGGGGACCCTGCTGGACAGGGTGGTCGTGTTCCCAAGCGGCTTACTGACAGCCTTACAGCCAGCGGGGGGCTCAGCGCTCGCATGGCGGATGTTGTAGTTTCTTTCTTCCGAGCCCGGCGTGTGAGAGCGATTAGCCCCGTTGTCGTGCGGCTGCGAAAATGACGGCGCCGGACGTTTTAACAGTGAAAGATGTTCGACAGCCGGTTAACGGACAAGGTGCGCCGCTGATGCGGAGTTTTGCTAAGTCAGGGGAGCCGCGGGCACTGCAGTAAAGGCGAGGACAGAAAGCACTTTAGCGGTAGTAGTGAGTAGAAAGGGCAGCACTGTACGGAGCAAGCGCCTGTGCTCTGCACGGAGCTATTAATAAGCATCATTCACTCGTTACTGACGCCGAGTTAAGGACGCCCGAGTCCGTGAGCTACTCGCTGGGGCTGAGAGACCAAGACGCGCACTGCGGCTGTTGGCTTAGTTCAAGCTTCTGCATTGAGTATAATATAGAACCAACCACTGCGGCGTCAAAAACGACTGTTCATTTGCTCTGCACCATGCAGTTAGACACGGGCTGTGGTAAATCAGATTATGTCTAGAAAATGTGGTGCTGCGATAAATATGGCATGGCGTCGCACAGCAGCTGGGCTGCACACGACGCTTCCTTTTCATGAGCTAAGGTTAACTAATTTCCCCTTACCCCTCTGCAAGCTAGTCCCCCTCTATGCTAAATGACGTTTTGATTGTTTGACGTTGATCTGGGTGGCAGGCGGCGGAGGTGTGTCTGTAGTCCGCTCTCTCATTGGCCACTTTTTGTCTCTTTGTGTCCGTTTACTTCCTTTTCATTGGTCAGTTGCTGTCCCTTTGTGTCTCCACCACCTCGAATACTGATTGACCTGAATATTTTTTTTCGTAACTCAAAGAGAGAACATGACGCTTGGAGCATTAGATCATGTATATACAAAGACAATCTGTATCCCATGCTGCATTTTCGCCACCATATAGAGGTGCTGGCTCAGAGGGTTAGGATGCCTGTGTTTGCAAGGTCACCCATTCAAATCCCAAGGGTGGCAAGGCCCTTAACCCCCGCTTGCTCCAGGGACTGTCTGACCCTGCATTTCAAAAATATACTTCACTTTGGTTAAAGTTCCTGCTAGATAACTTAAATGTAAAGGCCTTACCAACCAATTGCTGCGTTAACTGTAATCTTTCTCGTCTGAGTCCCCAGAAGGTCACAGGGACCAAACTGTCTTCTGCAGCTGATGGCTTCCCACAGTGTCATCTTAATGCCGGCACGTTATTTATGTTAATTCATTTAGCAGACATTTTTGTCCCAAGTGACATGCGTGTCAGGATTGGCAAATGGGCCTTACTCATGGGTCCCGCAGGGACACTGTTACTGTGCTGGCTGTGGGATTTGATTCACGACCTTCCAGATATGGACACAGATCCCTGAGCTGCACCGTGCCAGCTACATGGATGCCGTTGTTTTTCTGCTGTGTGTCACTATGTCGTGTGTCTTGCGTCTTTACGGATACATCTCTCTGAGGAACCAGCAGCAGGTTCCTCAAAGAACAGTGTAAGTCCCTCGTGTTTATGTGCTCTGCTCGGACACAGTTTAGCCCCTGTGGAAACCTTAGTCAGTCTCGCCGTGTAACGTGCTGACATTCGAGCTCTTCAGATGCTCTTCCTGGAATTCACACACGTGGTTTGTGAGCTGGCAGATGGTGTGATTTCAGTGCACAGGGTTGCCGGATGCTGAGCACGATGTAGTGAGTGGACATTTAGGACATAACCACACATACCTCTGCATTCAGCCAGCGGATACAAACTCCCCACCTCTGAGATTTGCCCATTCATTAATTCTTAAAGTGTTTGCCCACAAGTCTGACCTACTTCTAAAGGTAGTCACATGAGGCTGTTGCTTTAATTATTCATTTTTATCTTTAGTTACATCAGAACAGAGTTTATGTGCTGAAAATACTGTGTGTAAGCAGCAGTGAGAGTGAATGCCCCAACGCATTAAAGCTTCATGACATGCCAACGTGTTTTTGACTCGCTGTCTTTGATCTGTCTGTTTGAGAGGCAGCCTTGGGCATGTGTGCATCTGTGTTTAATTTGGTCCTTGTTTGGGTGATAAGTAACGTAGCCGGGAGTGACCGGTGTAAACCGGTCTGGCTCTAAACTAACACAACCGCAGCTTTTCAGGACACTAAGTTTGCACCAAATAGCAGTGTAAACGTGCCTGGTTATTGAATAATGAATAATCATGAAGATGCTCCTGATGATTTGATTAACTGGATTATCAGCACAGTGTTTTATTTGGACAGCCTCCCCCTGGTCACATGACCTGTGAGCGTCACTGCCATCGCACGTATACTGGTGACATTGTGGCTCTGAGCACAGGCTGCTCTCTGCCCCTGTGGTAATAGTCATGCTTGGTAAGATCTCTGTATGGTGTGTCTTATGCAGCTGCTTCCAGAGTTCAAGGTTGAATGCCAGGTGAGAGCTGGTGATGTGCGGGAGAGTCGCATAGACGTAGGTAAGGTTAACGCTGATGACAGGGCTGAGCCAAGTCTCCTCTGCTGATTGTTTTGGTCTGGCTATGCCATCCGTAACCAAAAATCACCACGGCAACACCCTAAAACCAGATTTTTTTCATTGTCAGTGAGGCCTGAGAAGTTTGTGAGTGCCTTGGAGGAACCAGAGTGGAAACGTGTGGGGCAGAGCTCTCTGGGAAAATGCGAGCCTTATGAAATGTGGGCAGAATACAAGCACAAACTGCATCTCTTTCATACATAAGTTAGTAGGTCATCTCAGAGGAAAATGTCAGTGGCTGTGTTACCTTTCCATTTTAGCTCAGCAAAATTCCAAAAAAGTTTTTGCACCACATTGTTGATTATCATGAAATTTGGCATGTGAATTATGCCTGGGCCTGCGCTCTCTGACCGGAGGTGCCACTGATTTCCCTGCACAGGCCAGTATCATAGCCCTGTGCTCTCTGACCAGGGGTGTGACTGCTTTAACTGCGTAGACTGGTGTGCTGGGCCTGTGCGCTCTGACCGGAGGTGCCACTGATTTCCCTGCATAGACTGGTGTGCTGGGCTTGTGCTCTGTGACCTGGGGTGTGACTGCTTTAACTGCATAGACTGGTGTGCTGGGCTTGTGCTCTGTGACCAGGGGTGTGACTGCTTTAACTGCATAGACTGGTGTGCTGGGCCTGTGCGCTCTGACCGGAGGTGCCACTGATTTCCCTGCATAGACTGGTGTGCTGGGCTTGTGCTCTGTGACCTGGGGTGTGACTGCTTTAACTGCATAGACTGGTGAACTTGGGCCTATGCGCTCTGACCGAGGGGGCGACTGCTTTCCCTGCACAGGCTGGTGTGCTGGGCCTGTGCGCTCTGATCAGGTGTGTGAATACTTTCCCTGCACAGGCTGGTGTGCTGGGACCGTGTTGCCCAGAATGCTGTGCTCGTTCCAGGAAAACAGATTTAATTGCCCATCAGTTAACCCTAATCACCCTTTATTTGATAGGTAATTGGTGGTTGTCGGTAACCGGAGTTCATTGGTGTTGGGGGGTTAAAAGAGGCTTGGGGTTGTGGAATGTTGCTGAGAAGTGTCTCTGTGTTTCAGGCTCTGTGTCTGCACCTCGCTTAGAGTCCCGTTATGGATGCTACACTCTCCTTCAGCTCCCAGGACAACTTCCTGCTGGCCGGCTGTGCCGATTCAGGACCAGGCTGCTGGAAACACCCCAGCGAAGATTCTGTGAGTGGGCGACAGCATGGACTGTACTGTAATTGTCCGTCGGTCCATCCATCCATCCATCCATCCATCCATCCATCCATTCCCCAACTACTAATCCACTCTGCAGGCTCATAGGCGGCAGGCAGAAGAGGGACTAACCCGGATAGGTAGAGCGAGGGACACCGAGTTACTAACCCTCTTTGGACTCATCCCCCAGGACCGGAGCTGCAGCCCTTCAGTTCTGCGGTCTGTGGCCAGTGCCTGGAAGGAGGGACTGCTGAACAGGAAGAGGCCATTTGTGGGCCGCTGCTGTCACTCCTGCACCCCGCAGAGCCAGGTGAGTGAGCTGTGTCGGGCCTAATCCTAACCATAACCATAACCCAGGGGTCGGTGACCTGCGCCCCGCAGAGCCAGGTGAGCTGCCTTGGGCCTAACCATAACCATAACAGTAACCCAGGGTTCAGCGGCCTGCACCTCAAGAGTCTTCTGCAAACATCACATATTGATTATTTAAGGCTTGCGATGTTACTCTTGGTAGCTTAACTTCATTGGATAATATCAGTCCAATTGGTACCACTTGTAATTTTTAAGCTAGCAAAGACGTTTGAACAAAATACTATTGAACAAATCTAAATAAATCATGTAACAAGGCAGCTAAAAGCTCTCAAAATATCAAAAAAGAAAAAAATAAAAGATGAAGATGGAGACTTTAGAGATGAATAGATAGTGGCATATTCATTGCACAGCTGCAACCGTGAAATATGTAAATTACCCATTCAGTGTAGTTTTTGTGCCTGTGTATCTTTGGACAGCTTCTTGATGTCTAGACTACAAAGACATTTCAATTGTTTTAAGCAAGATTGCCTGAACTTTCATTGTTCAGGTGGCTTCCCAGTTCAGCACAGGTTCTGCCAGTTTTGTGTCGCCTCAGGAGATTAGAAGAAACAGAAATCAAAGTAGTGGAACAGCTGTTTGCCGACTTTCAAAATGAAAACAATATAATTAAGAATGATTTGGGATGTGCCATTATGTTCATGAAACAGTTCTTGAAATTTCTTTTTGGAAGGACTTGGATTAGCACTTCCAGGATTATACTCATTAAAAAAATGTATTACTTGCCAACAGAGTATTTTAGAGTGATAGTATTCTTAGCCCAGTTCTACTGAAGCAGTATTACTGATGAGACTTACGTAAGTAAGTACTTACATAAGTCACTCTGGCTGAGGGCGTCTGCCAAATGCTGTAAATGTAAATGAAACACTCGAAATAATTTGTTTGTTTACACTTTGTTGCTGGAGTCATATGAAAATATTGCTAAACTGTCTAGAATAAATTTCGGCTTCCAGTGAAATTCTGTGGCTCCAGTGGCTTTCAGTTAAAAAAAAAAAAATCTGAATCTCTTCTCAGTTGGGCCGCCTAACCCTGCTGTAACCGTAAGCCTAACCCTAACCCTAACCCTAACCCTAACCCTAACCCTAAGCCTTCTTCTGATTTATTCTCTTAGGAAAAGCTCTTCAACTCCAGCATCCCATCACTTGGCCTACGCAATGTGATCTACATCAATGAAACGCACACCAGGTATGATGCTGCTCTCTGTCGCCCCCTGGAGGTACTGGACCATCACCTCTTCTGTCCACCACTTTGTGTCATTTTGTCATTTTAATGTATGTACCATTCATCCTCAGTGAGTGATAATGCTAACTGTAATGATGCTGACTTCAGCATGGCGGTCTTCCTACCCTCAGGCACCGCGGCTGGCTGGCCCGGCGTCTCAGCTACGTCCTCTTCGTCTTGGAGCGTGATGTCCACAAGGACATGTTCGCCCGCAACGTGGTGGAAAACGTGCTGCACAACAGCAGGTACAGCGGCTCTCGAGCTGCATGCTGGGGCCCCTGCTGGTCGCCCTGCTTTGAACATTGCTCCCCTTTCAGTGTGGAGAAGGCCATCACAGAGGTGGCTTCAGAGATGGCCCCTGTCACGGCGGAGCCCACGGCAGAGCAGCAGGCCGTCGTCAGGGTGAGGCGAAAGGCCCGCGGCATCCTGCAGGAAATGGTGGCCAATATTTCGCCCGCATTCATCAGGTAGGATCCGCCCCCATAAGAAAGGCAGTCAGCCAGCTGTGCTTGTCGCCTGTCATTGCTGCTTGGTCAGTATTAGAGCATTAAGATGTGACGTCCCCCAGGCTGACGGGCTGGGTGCTGTTGAAGCTGTTTAACGGATTCTTCTGGAGCATCCAGATACACAAGGGGCAGCTGGAGATGGTGAAGAAGGCAGCGACTGAGGTCAGCCTGATATGCAGCCCCCGAATCTCCCCCTGCCATTCCTGTTATGCGGCCCCCGGGTCTCCCACCGCCATCCTTGTTATGCGGCCCCCGGGTCTCCCCCCTGCCATCCCTGTTATGCGGCCCCTGGGTCTCAGTTACTGGTTTGGGTAATGCTAAGGGATGTGTTCTGTATTTCAGCAAAATGTCCCCCTGGTCTTCTTACCTGTGCACAAGTCACACATTGACTACCTCCTGATCACCTTCATCCTCTTCTGCCACAACATAAAAGCCCCTCACATCGCTGCTGGCAACAATCTCAACATCCCCATCCTGAGGTGAGGCTCCCCCCCTCAGTTCGGGCACCCATCTGTGAAAGGTCAGAGAGTGTCTGACACGAGCCCTTCCATCCATCCAGCACGCTGATCCGCAAGCTGGGCGGCTTCTTCATCCGGCGCCGGCTGGACGAGACCTCAGACGGGAAGAAGGATGTCCTGTACCGCTCCATTCTGCACACGGTGGGTCTGTACCACTTGCTGCTGCATGTGGTAGGTCTGTACCGCTTGCTGTCACACGTCGTAGGTCTGTACCACTCACTGCTGCACATGGTGGGACTGTACCGCTTGCCGTCGCACATGGTAGGTCTGTACCACTCAATGTTACACACAGTAAGTCTGTACCACTCACCATCGCACATGGTAGATCTGTACCACTCACTGCTGCACATGGTGGGTCTGTGCCGCTCGCTACTGCACATGGTGGGTCTGTACTGCTCGCTGTTGCACACAGTGGGTCTGTACCACTCTCTTCTGCATGTAGTGGGTCTGTCCTCCTCTCTCCTGCATGTAGTGAGTCTTGTACTGCTTGCCACTGCACACGGTGGGTCTGTACCGCTCCCTGCTGCACATGGTGGGTCTGTACCACTCGCTGCTTCACACGGAGGATCTGCACCGCTCACTGCTGCACACAGTTTTTGTTTCTGTACTGCTAGAACTGCATTCCTCTTGACCTTTCGATACCTGTCAACTGCCTCCAGAGTGCCACAAGCTAGGAGGCTCCCTTTACCGCTGTAGTCCACCCCCGGGTTTGGAGGTCTCCACCACGACAGGCACCAGCCCCTGCTCTGCACACTGTCACTAAACTTTGGAGTCTGCCAGGTCTTTCCAGCATTTTCTCCTGCCATCTGATCCAATTCAGCACCAGATGATGATCAATTGACACCTCAGCTCCTCTCTTCACCATAGTAGGAGTTGCACAGACTAGTTGACTAGTCAACAAGTTGACTTGTCTGCTCTGCGATGACTCCTTAAGATTGACATTGACTAGTCACTGATCACATGATTATGACATTAACCCTCTGGGGACTAGGTGTAAGGAATACACTTTCATCATAAACTTAATTCATGGCAAATAAATTATTTCTGATACATTTGTTTTGGCATTACACTCATCTTTTTCATCTATTTCAATGTCCTTTGTAAATATGGCAGATTTATGTGAATTATTTTTTGCCATCAAAATATAGACATTGCAGAATGCAGTTTGGAATACTTGCAGAAACATTATAAAAATACATAGAAAGCGATGGTGGCAGTTTGCTTTGATCACAGATATTTAATCACCAAAATCTTGCCTACATGAAGATGACTAAATGTTATAGTTGCAGCATTCAGTTGGATAAATAAATAATAAAAATCTAACTCATGTCACTATTTCTGGGCTCCTTCCATTGAATATGTAGGAGCTCTCATGTATATGCATGAGCCATTGACACCTGGCCACATCCTCCCCCCCTTTTATGGCGCTGGTGGGGATGTATCTGGATCGCGTTTCACCATTGCGTTGTTCATCAAATTACCATGTGAATACGATTTGAATAGTTTGCATGTTCTCCCCGTGCATGCATGCATTTCCTCCGGGTGCTCCGGTTTCCTTCCACAGTCCAAAGACATGCAGATTAGGTCAACTGGCTACTCTAAATTGCCCATAGGTGTGACTGCGAGTGTGTGTGGCTGTTTGTCTGTGTTGGCCCTGTGGTGGACTGGCGGCCTGTCCAGGGTGTACCCTGCCTCTCGCCCGAAGATGCTGGTATTGGCTCCAGCTTCCCCGTGACCCAGATGGATTAAGCGTTATAGATAATGGATGGATGAGTGCGATTTGAATACACAGTAATGCGGCTATTTAGAACGTAAATAGCGATCTTGAAATGAGAGCGGTACTACACACCCCCGATGCAGGTAAAACAAAGTAAGGTGACATGGTTTAAATTTTTGCCTATTTAACTTAATTTAAAAAAAATTATACTTCTGACAATGGACGTTTTGAAAAGAAGACATTACGGATTCAGTCAGCATTTTTTTCATGTTTCTACAATAAGATGTCAGTGAGTTATGAACTGAAATGCACGAGAAAGATACTCGGCATCGCCGGCGATGGGTTAACAGCAGGCACGTCTCTGAGAAGTGCAGGGAAAAGAGATGGTAGTGGAGCAAAAATTGAGCACATGGAGTTATTTTTGTCTCTCAATTGCATTTAATTCATTAAATGAATACCTGTTTACTTGCATCTTATTTTCCACTTAGTTCTGTCTTTGAAAATTCTATCGCTATACTTTTATCTAATATCGCCAGTGCTGGCAGTGAAACTGATTTTTATTCTGTGGAAACTAAAGATCAATCTGCTGGCCAGATTTAATAATTATAAACATCCATCCATCCATCACCGTAACTGCTTAATCCCAACTTGGGGTTGGGGGGGTGGGGGTTACCAGAGCCGTGAACAACAGGTACAGGCGGGAACCAACCCTGGGTAGTCGCCAACACACCGCAGGGCATGGACGCACGCACACTCACACAGCCACACTCACACAACTACAGGGCCAATTTAGACTCACTAATCAACCTGCCCTGCACGCTTTTGGACCGTGGGAGGAATAATTATACATAAAATATAAATAAAAGGCTGTGTCCCATTTTGATCCCGATCAATCCCACAAATAACTAACAAATTGAATAAAACTGAACGACTTTTTCGTCCTCCATTGTTTTTGGGTGGCAGTGTGCAATGTTTCTACTGGTAACTTTTCTCTGTGGCGGCCCGCCACTCCAAAATCTTTGCCACTGCGGCCAAAACAGAAATCCAACCGATGATCTAAATCGACACCTTAGTGACTTGCCTGGGAATCCCGATTTCTGCCCCCCCCCCTCCTATGCACACACCCTGGAATTCATCTGGTCAATGGCAATAACAGGCTATATTACGTTGCCATTCAGCAGACACCCTTATAAAGTATCTTTCCTCATATATACCCCATTTACACACACATTGATACCTGCTTTTGTTGTTTTACCGTTATGGGGTGATGTGGGAATGGGAGCATAATGGTAAAGTCTACTACTCTGGTAACATTAGCTAGTAACCTAGTAACATTAGCAATAACATCTCTGACATTTCTAACTTTTGCATGGCGAGTCGGCATGCGAACCCATAATCAATTACCGTGTTCGATGAGGGTGAGAAGGAAACTCATTCTTTTGGTCACTACCCAAAGCTCAGGACCATGGTGAGGGTGGGAACATAGATGGACTAAATCGATAGTTTTCCCTTCCGGTTCAGCTCTCTTTACCACAACAGCATGGTACAGTGTCTGCATTACTGTCAACGCTGCCCTGATCCAGCTGTCGATCTCCTGTTCCCTTCTTCCCTCACTCATGAACAAGAGCTCAAGATACCCCCACTGCTCCTTACCTATAATTATTGGTGAAAAAGTGCAGCCCGGGAAGAGTACAGCACCCACCGGAATGAGGCTGACAACAGACTCTGTATCCTGTATTCCTGAACCAGCCTCCACAGGACCCCCCGAGGGGCACAGTCATATGCCTTTTCCAAGTCCACAAAGCACATGTAGACTGGTTGGGAAAACTCCCATGAACCCTCCAGTATCCTGTGAAGGTGAAGAGCTGGTCCAGTATTCCGTGACCAGGATGGAATCTGCATTGTTCTTCCTGTATCTGAGGTTTAGCCAACAGACGGACCCTGGGAAATTCCCAGGGAGGCTGAGAAGTGTGATCCCCCTGAAGTTGGAACACATCCTCCTGTCCACTTTCTTAAAGATTAGGACCACAGCCCCAGTCTGCCAGTCCAAAGGCACTGTTCCCAACCTCCATGCATCGTTGAAGAGGCATGTCAGCCAAGGCAACCCAACAATATAAGGAATTGTCAAGAACCCAGAGTGAATCTCATTCACCCCTGGAGCCACTGAAGAGTTGTGGTCTACTTTTGTATCCTCAGCTGTAGAGATGGGCAAGTCACCCTCTTAGTCTTCCAGCTCTACTTCCTCCAAGTAAGGCATATCAGTGGGATTCAGGAGGTCCTTGAAGTATTCCTTTCACCACCTGACTATATCCCTTTTTGAGATCAACAATTCTCCATCCCTGCTGTAAACAACATGGGGAAAGCCCTGCTTCCCCTTCCTGAGTCACCTAATGATTTACCAGAATCTTTTTGGAGCCAACCAAAAGTTAATTTCCATGGCCTCACCAAACTCCTCCCACAGCTTCAAACTGTGAAGGTCTCCTTAAGCCTATCAGCTCCCTTTACCACTGGTGTCCACCACCGGGTTCGGGGATTGCTGCCACAGCAGGCACCAGCAACCTTATGGTCACAGGTCCACACAGCTGCCTCAGCAATAGAGTCCTGGAACATAGCCCATTCAGGCTCAATATCTCCTGACTCCCTCAGGATAGCAAGACAAGTTCAGTTGGAGGTACAAGTTGAAGTTCTCCTGAACAGGGGTCTCTGCCAGACACCCCCAGCATACCCTCACTATACGTTTGGGTCTACCAGGTCCCCTGCCATTGGATCAAACTCAGGAACAGGTGGTGATCAGTTGACAGCTCAGCTCCTCTCTTCACCGAATTGTCCAAAACATGCGTATGCAAATTCAAAGGTACAATTACAAAATCAACCATCGAACTGCGGCTGGTGCTCTGGTGCCAGGAGCACTTATGAACACCCTTATGTTCGAACATGGTGTTCTGTTTAATTCAGCCTATGCTGTTCTCCCCCCCCTTTCCTTTTTTCGTGTCCTTCTTTCTGTTTCTCGTGCTCTCTCCCTCTCTCTGTGCTCTTCTTTCTTTTCATGTACCTGTTTCACTGTTTCATGCACTCTCTCTATCTCTCCCTTGTCCAGTATACAGAGGAGCTCCTCCTGCAGCAGCAGTTCCTCGAGTTCTACCTGGAAGGCACGCGTTCTCGAAGTGGGAAGCCATCCCCAGCCCGAGCCGGCATGCTCTCCATTGTGGTGGATGCGCTCTGCACTGGCAGTGTGCCAGATGTGCTGCTTGTGCCCGTTGGCATCTCCTACGACCGCATCATTGAGGAAAATTACAACAGCGAGCAGCTGGTAGCCACCCATATCTGGCTTACACTGTATCAGCTGGGGCTTACAGCACTGGCCTACTGTCTGCCTTGTTGCTGACTAACAGCGGGGCCCAGCAGCACCGACTCGTTGTGCTCTCCCTTTTGATGTTTAAAAGGATGAATGATGCTCCCATATAGCAATGCACTATCCTGATCTGTCTGTCCCCATCTCTGTCCTCAGGGTAAGCCGAAGAGGAATGAGAGCCTGTGGGGTGTGGCCTGTGGAGCGTTTCGGATGCTCCGGAAAAACTGTGGCTGCGTGAGGGTTGACTTCACCCAGCCTTTCTCTCTCAAGGTGGGGTTAGAGTTAGGGGTTAGTGTTTGGGTTTATGCTGATGAGTTGGCAAATTATGGGTTTCATGCGTTTGTCTGCTGAGTGTGATGGTACATTATTTAAATTCGGAAGCGTTATTTAGTTGTTCTTCAAAAGATGTAGGGAATGAGGCTCCATTCATTGCATATGAATATATCACATGGTTAGAGATCTTGGAGGTGTTTGTGGCGGGTACCTTGAAAGGAAGTGATGTCACGGCATTTCCTGTCATCTTCTCCAGGAGTACCTTGACACCCAGCGCTGTCGGCAGCTTCCGGTACCTTTGTCACTGGAGCAGATGCTGGTTCCAAACATCATCGCAGCCCAGTACGCCACCTTGTCCACGTAGTGGCCTGCTCTCACATGGCTTCCAGGGAAATGAATCTGCTTTGTCCATCTCCTGACCTTTCTTTGTTGTGGCAGCACAGGCCGGACCAAGCTGCTTTGGCTGGTGAGGAAGAGGAGCAGTTTGATGGTGGGGACCTCTCAAATGAGCCCTGCAGAAGACACGTCATTGCCAATCTGGCCAAGCACGTGCTTTTCAGTAAGCCAGTACCCCATCCCCTCCCTGTTTCTGTCTTCCAATCCCATGCTGAAGTCTGAGGGTGGTGCTTTGACTCGGCCAATTGCATTGTCCTATGATTTTGGTGGTACTAGATGTGAATGTGGGACAGGGTAACGCTGATGTGTAAAAAGCTTTGCCGTGGAAGTCACCTGCTGCCTTTTATGGTTCTGCTTAACATTGCTTTATCGGTTCATCTTCCTTTGCTTCTTGTCTCTGCCTCTTCAGCGGCCAGCAGATCGTCCGCTGTCATGTCCACACACATCGTGGCCTGTCTGCTCTTGTACCGGCACAGGCCGGTAAGGTCGCATTTTTTCTTAAATGCCTTTGTGCCTGTTTCTGTCACAGTAAGATTAGATGAGGTAAGACTTTATCTACAACGATGTCTATAACCAGATTTTGTGTGGCAGCTTCCAGGCAGAAAACATCAATAGGTTGAAAATAGACAAAAGAAGCAAGATTTCTGACAATATATAACATAGAAAGCACTCAAAGGCAGATAAGTAGTGTCCCTTTACGTGAGCGTCCTGCCCCCGTGTGCAGGGCATCGCCTTGTCCCGGCTGGTGGAGGACTTCTTCAACATGAAGGAGGAGATTCTGTCTAGGGACTTCGACCTGGGCTTTTCGGGCAGCTGTGAAGACGTGGTCATGCACGCCCTGCACCTGCTGGGCAACTGCGTCAACGTGACAAGTGCCGGCCGCAACACCGAGGTCGTGGTGTCCCCCCGAAACACAGTGCCTGCCCTCTTCGAGCTCAACTTCTATAGCAATGGTCTCTTCCACGTCTTCATCGCCGACGCTATCATAGGTAAATTTCTTATGTTCTTAGGTATTGCCGGACTACGTGGCTGCTTGTGTCATGTCCTTCACTCATTTTTGAATGAGACGCTATAATGGCATGACAGACAAAATGAAAGCTGGTCGTATATAGCGTCACTTCTCTTTCCCAGCATGCAGTGCGCTCGCCCTGCTGAGGGAGTCTGATGCTGAGCCCGGCTGCAGCAGGACGCTGCTCAGTCAGGAGGCACTGATCCGTCGGGCCGCTGGTCTCTCCCACTTCCTGTCCAATGAGGTGGCCGTTGCCTTGGTGAGCTAAAACCTTGGGCAGGCAGGAGGTGGAGCCAATGGCCTTTGGACAGCCCTCTGCCTGGAGCTGCTCATTGATCCATTGTTTCTTCGGCCTACAGCCCTGTCAGATGATTTACCAAGTGTTCCACGACGCCGTGGGCCGGCTGGTCCAGTATGGGGTGCTGCACGTCGCTGAGGTAGGCCTCTGTTCCAGCGTCTCTAAACCCCAGTCAGGAAACGAGAATGGCAGCTGTGACTTTGGAGTGTCCTGGTCTGTCCTCCTTCATATGACTGGGTAACCCCTTCACATTAACGAGGGTTACGGGCAGAACATCCCGTGAAAGTGACGATCCGGGAATCATACCAGGGCCTCTCTAACCTTATCCCAGAACAGTCTGCTAGCCTGAACAATAACGCAAGTCTATTTATTACCAATTTCTAAACAAACAGTACTGTACTGTATACTTTGCATGTCAAATTACTTTGTCATTTCCTATCAAGGCCTTTTTATATAATATAAAAATGATGTCCCTGTATGTACAAAGTTACTACTGTCACTACGTTTTAGACTAAATAATAAAAATGAAAAATTGACAGCACTGAAAAGTTAAATGGTTATAGTGAGCAGCACAAGATTCCACAATTACAAAGAAAGATTTAATACGTGAGTGACACTGGTTACTGAGACAAAGGCGAGTGCCGTCCCTAAGCCAAGACTTTTAGTACTATAGTATGCACTTACAAATATTATATATTTCTAATATTTATATATTATATGATTTTATGTAGGCCTGTCACGATCATGGAAACTAATGGATCATTAGTTTGCAATTAGTTGTCATACTAACTGCGATTAACTGTTCTTTTTCTGTTCTGTTACGCATATGCAGATGTATGAGGTACAAATAGGGCAGATGGTACGGATTGGCTCAGGAGCGGAACCAGATGACTGTATTAAATGAGCACCAACAAAACATTACACAGTAAAAAATGATGTAGAAATGTGATAGAAATATGACATTCAGCTATTGTTATACAGAATAATGGAAACAATTCTAACAATAATGCAAAATGATCACAGTTCAATTAATCGCGATCTGACAATTATATAATTGTGATCTTACGTGATCCAAATCACTTTCAGTATCGTCTTTGGCTTACATGTCATCTGCGAGTTTCTGCAATCTTTTAGTGAGCTCCAAAAATATTTTAATTTCATTGTACATGGCCAACTCACAAATAACAAACTGTTAATGTTAAATGCTTGAATGTGAAGGTGTTTCTGTATTTGTTATTTTATAAGCAGAATGTATCCCCGCTTTTTGAGTGTGTTTTTTGTGGTTGAGGCACTTAGAATTCCCCCCCCTGGGATCAATACAGTAGCTCTTACTCTTAAACGTTAGGTGTTCATCTGTGAACATGTTTGACCTCTTTATTCTTAGGATGACCAGGAAGAACTCAGCCCTGGCGCCTCTGAAGAACCCTGGAGCCAGAGGTACCCCGAGCCGCTCTCCTGGCGCAGTGACGAAGAGGACGAAGACAGCGACTTTGGTGAGGAGCAGAGAGACCGGTACCTGAAGGTGAGTGTTGGGTATGAAGTTCCACCTCAGCCCAGCAGGGGGCACTATAGGGCACTTCATGGTTTTCCTGTCACTTTGCCTCATTTTTCTTTTTTTCTCCCTGGCGTCCGTTGCATGCACCGGCAGCTGAGCCCATCCTCTGAGCACCAGGAGTTCATTGCATTCCTGCAGCGGCTCTTGAGCCCAGTGCTGGAGGCCTACGCGGGGGCGGCCATCTTTGTGCTAGGCCTGGAGCAGCCAATCACAGAGAGCGACTATACCACACAGCTTTTCCGCTTCCTGCTGGCTCGCACTGAGAAGGGAGTCGCTGCTTATGGTCAGATTTCTACAATACAGCTAATAAAATTCTACTCCAAAAAAAAGCTTTGCTTTATCAGTGTTATTCAGGGAAACCCTCCCGTACCCTACAGGAATGAGGGCATTGTGGGGCTCAGCAGGTTAGGCTGCTGTGCCTCTGATCAGAATCCCAGGGCCGGCAGGGTGACGTCACCGCCGGGCCCCTGAGGGAGGCCCCTAACCCCCAATCGCTCCGGGGCCTGTCTGATCCCGCTTCTCAAAGCCATGCATCACTTTGGATGAAAATATCTGATAAATTAATTCATGTAAATGTTAGAAAATAAGCTTAAGGCAGAATGTTCTGCTTTAACTGTAGCTTTATTGCTGTGGTTTCAGTTCTTGAAACATTTGGGTTTCTAGTAGGGAATTTTTTCTTATTGAAATTCTGCTTCTTTGTCTCATTTCAGGGGAGAGTGCAACGCACTACCTGGTGAAGAACACAGTGAAGACGTTCAAGGAACTTGGGGTGAGATCACTTCATCTCCAAAGTGCACGTCATGTTTTGTGTGACGTTTTTTTTGAGGGAAATATCCATCCATCCATCCGTCCACCTGCTGTCTCCTTCCTCTAAAAGGCAGTGTATGTGCCAGGTGATGCTTTCATCAGTGTATGTTTATAAGGAGGGACGGGACCTTAACCGGCAGTATCACATAACTAGCCTGTTGGGTGCTGATGTGTCGTAGCCACCTGTGAGTCATGCTTATTTTCTACGCACACACACAGAAGACACTCTGCTCTCTGTAGGATGCTGTAAGGAATTCAGCTTTGCAGTACATACTGCGCCCTTCCCACATTACTGCAGAACTGCCCTTAACTCGCACTGCCGGCCGTTACCAGTGATATGAACACTGAAGTGCATGAGCTCGGTCATCGTTAGCTGATGGGCCTGTAGAGAAACCCCCTGCGCGGCTCTTATGCTGTGAGGTCTTGCTCTTCCTCCTATTCCTCCTCTTCCTCCCCACCGGCCATAGGTTCTGAAGGAGAAGCCAGGGGGCAGAGTGGTGGTCCTGGAGATGAGCAGCACCTTCCTCCCCCAGGCCAGCCGCAGGAAGCTGTTGGAATACATCCTGAGCTTCGGCCTCCTGTAGGGTGCACAGCGCCCCCTGCCACCGGCACATGGAAGCACACCTCTACACTGCTCACCACTCTGTGAAGGGCTTTTGCTGGCTACTTAACACAAACAATAAGGTGCTAATCTATGGAAAATCTACCTGAAAGTGCCTTTATAGAATCAGCAGAAGCACCAGCTGGGAGGGCTTAGCCGTTAACATGCCCCCGGCGATGCAGGCAGAAGTTAAGGGTTCTGGTGGAGAACGTAACACCCTCATGCTAATCGGCTATTCTAAAAGACAACCTACTTTTGTAGAGAGCTCCCATCTTGACCTCATCTCGATAGAGACGCAACCACCCAATTAAGTATTAGAGTGCATTCCTCCCCCCCACCCGGGAGAGGCTCACAGGGTGGTGCAAAGTGGCAGGGAGGCTTGGGCCCCATGCGCTGGTGCCCCCCGCGGCTCGCGGAAACGCTGCAGCTCCTTGTGTGGGTCTGCGTGACTTTCTCATGCATAGAGGCTGCAGCAGCCACTTTACTGTATGTAGGAATATACTAATCATTTTCCCAAGGGATAATATAATTAATATAACGTGACTGTAATAATTCATACAAGAACCGGTGAGTGGTTTTTGCTTTTGTGTGTTTATGTCTGGCATTTTCGGATAAAAATGTGTGCCAGTAACTACTGGTAAAGTCTACAGGCAAATGGTTCTCGTTCCTTGTGATAAAGACTACCATCGTGTACATTTAAAAAAAAATGTCTTGCAAAGATTTAAGATTTCAGTCCCTGGCTCAGAATGGCATTTTATGTTTAGTTCTTATTAGGATAACAACTAGCTGTAGAATTTACTTGTGTAAACTGCTGAGTCCCTGTCACACGTGTGGTCTGTGTCACACGTGTGGTCTGTGTCACATGGTCACAGGCTGGTCCCAGCGCTTGGAGCCATCTGTCACGCCAGGCAGCATGCTGGCCATTCTAACCTGACCTTAGAACATTGACATCTTAGCATGATTTCATGGAAACCCTCCCTGGACTGTAGCTCTCATGCATTGTGTCCGTCTCCTTTGGTTTCATAGTGACAGCATATTTGAGGCTAAAGCCTGTAACTGAATTTTTTATTTTATTTTTTATTTAAAAATTTTTCAAGAATCCAGGTTCATATAAAAATGCAACCATAGCCTGCTGTAGAATTATAAGCAAATTTATCGGGAGCCTCAGAAGAACCCGGTCTGTCTCACATGAGGCCTTTTAGGAGTTAAACAAAGCTGTGAAAATAAATCTGTTTCATTCATGTTGCATTTCTGTGCAAAGCTTGCGAGACCTTTTCCATCTGACGAGTGTGGCTCTGTCACCTGCCTCGGGTGGGCAATGTTTGGATTTACTGTCTGGTAAAAGCAATAATTACATTTATGAATGAGCTACTTTTTATCATGCATATTTTGAGTGACAGCAGCATATTTAAATACAGCTGTTTCTGAACTTTGGAGATTAATATATTTCAGAAGAGTAGCTAGATAGCTGGATCAGATCCTGCCTCACTGCTCTACACTATCGACAGCCAAATGATCAATAAAGTGGAAATATAGCTTAATTTAAAAATGGATAGATTGTTTTTAAGGGGGTTCATGTTACAACTACGACATAGCTAAGCTCTCCTAGAACCACAGCATCTCTGCAAAGGATTCTTTCACAACACACAGTACCAGTCAAAAATCTGGAACCACCAAGCCGCCTACAGAAGAGAGTGATAGAGTGTTGCATCACATGACCTGGCCACCCGACTTAAACAAAGTAGAAATGGGTTTGGAGGAGTTTGACCAGAGACTGAAAGAAAAGGGGCTAATGCGTGCTCAGCATATTCAGGACAACTGGAAAAAGCATCCCAGGATACCACCATAGAGGAGACAGCGGGGTCAACCAGTCCCTGGGCCAATTGGAGTTAAGGGCCTTGCTCAAGGGTCCAATGATGGCATCACTCTGCCAACCCAGGGATTTGACCCGGCAATCTTCTGAGTCCTAACCCAAAGACCTATGCCCCCCCCCCCAGCAAATTTTCTCTATACTTACCTCGTCAGTGCATAATTCCATGTATGTTATTTTATAGTTTTGACGTCTATTAAGTATTCTAAAATGTAGAGATTAGTACAAATAAACCTTTCTGTGGGTGGGTGTGTCCAAACTTTTGACTGGTACTCTACATCAGCCTATTTTACTACTGTCTTCCATGTAATGTGACATCTATACAAAGTACAGCCAAGGTAAGAAACAGCTCTGGGTTTTTTTTTATCAAGGTGAACTAAGCTGTGACCTTTGTATTCACTGCTACAGGAAGCTACTTGCTAAGCTAAACGTCCATCTAGTTTGTTTTTCAATAAAACAATGGATCCAATGCCAGTCCTGACTGCTGTGTTTAAGTTTGTTTGGCTGCAGCTACAAAAAACAGAAGAGACCCTGTTGGTTATGGTGAAGTGATCATGTGCAACATGCATTGTGCAGAGAGGATATTGCCTGTGACGGGATTCACCCACTAAACTATGCTAATAGTCATTTGAATTCTATATCTTCTTGTCTGACAGAAGGTTAATTTCACAAAGATCCTTAATGACAACATTTTTCTGGCAGCCTTGTCTTTGAACTAGTAGCGATGAATGAATGTAATTGAGGCGTTTCTTCTTCACTGATGGCCAGGCTCAGTTGAGTGCTAGATGCTGTTGATATACACTCATATCAGTGCATATCGCACCTAGATTGACATCCGGCTTCCAGTCTGTCTGCAGACTCACAAACAGAAACTTACAATGATGCAAAAACACATAAGCAGCTCTTCACACTGACAAAGTGGATGGATTGTACTGGGGTTTTGTCTAGTCTGAATGTCTATATATACACCAATAAATGTATCAAATGTCATTTTCCTGCTTGTTTTGAAGTTAACTGTGGGCTGTAATGTATAGAAACACATAAGAGCAAACCAGCTTTTTTGTGCATGCTTGTCCTCAGGGTTGTAGGGGTCTGGAACCTGTCCTTGAAGCTTTGGCTGCAAGGCAGGGAACAACCCAGGATGGTGCACCAAGCCACTGCAGGGCACAGACCCACTATTCATGTATATGGACAATTCGGCAACTCCAAATGCACCTTAGCAAGTTTTTGAACTGTGGGAAAATGAGAGGACCTGGAGGAAACCCCACAATGACACGGGGAGGACATGCAAAGTCCACACAAAAGGAGCCATGGTAGAGACTTGAACGCTGGTCTCAGAGGTGTGAGGGAACAGTACTAACCATTGGATTACCTCACCACCCCGTTTTCTACATTAAATTACAAATGTATGAGTCAAACCTTCGCACATATTTCCAAGGCAAGGCTAGGATATCATAATGTCCAGGCAATGACATCACAATACACACGATATAAAAGCAGCTACGTGACTCATTTATTCATTAAAACCAACTACTCAGTGCATGTGTTAGAGAAAAGCTTTCGATAAAATCAAGTGCTTGACACGTGTTATGGAGAATGTTTACTAAAACCATTATGAAGTATTTACCTTAGACTAGAGCAAGAGACTGTCAATCTCTTTGGGTGAGAATGACACTGGCATCTCAGGGCGTGAATGACACCAGAATCTCAGAAGGCATGACTGACGTCAGGAATCTCAGTGGATGAGAATGACGGCGGCACCTCAAAAGGCGAGATTGATGTTGGGATCTCAGAGGATGAGAATGATGCTCTGATCTCAGAGGGTAAGATTGATGTTAAGATCTCAGTGGATGTAAATGATGCTCTGATCTCAGAGGGTGCGATTGATGTTGGGATCGAAGAGGATGAGAATGATGCTCTGATCTCAGAGGGTAAGACTGATACTGAGATGTCAGAGGGTGAAATTGACAGAGGTATGGATGAAACAAGAGAAAATGGAATCAGAAATTCCTTGTAATAGATTCATTCAGAGGCTGGGGTTGCCCTGTTCCTTGCAAGAGCCTGGTGTCCCATTAAGGGTATCCCCTGCCCCATGCCCTAAAATAGACTGGTGTCCCATCCAGGGTGTCCCCTGCCCCGTGCCTTACAATAGACTGGTGTCCCATAAAGAGTGTCCCCTGCCCCATGCCCCAAAATAGACTGGTGTCCCATCCAGGGTGTCCCCTGTCCCGTGCCCTACAATAGACTGGTGTCCCATCCAGGGTGTCCCCTGTCCCGTGCCCTAAAATAGACTGGTGTCCCATCCAGGGTGTCTCCTGTCCCGTGCCCTACAATAGACTGGTGTCCCATCCAGGGTGTCCCCTGTCCCGTGCCCTACAATAGACTGGTGTCTCATCCAGGGTGTCCCCTTCAATGTGCCTCAACTCTAGGCCCTGTTGTGACCTTACACTTGAAAGATGGGCAGAGTCATTGTATATGTCAATAGAATTTTTTTATTTATTTATTCAGCATTCTGCAGTTATTCTCAGCATTTTTAATTAATTTAACAAGCAACCTTTAATAAAAAGAACTTAAAAAGGTGTAGTTTTAAAAATCATATAAAAATAGCATTAAAAGCATGTAGTAATATAAGTAAAGATGGTGCCATTTTGATTTCTCACTATTGAAATGCACAAAGACAAAGCTGTAGTGTGAAAGCATCGACCCCGAGATGGCGGCAGCCACCCCGAGATTTCGGCAGCGACCCCAAGATGGCGGCAGCGACCCCGAGACGGCGGCAGCGACCCCGAGACGGCGGCAGCCACCCCGAGATTTCGGCAGCGACCCCGAGATGGCGGCAGCGACCCCGAGATGGCGGTAGCGACCCCGAGATTTCGGCAGCGACCCCGAGATTTCGGTAGCGACCCCA